AGTGCAGTATCCCCTAAGAGATTAGTTTTATTATAAGTCTTTCCCTTCTAACTGATGGTTTTTTGAATTATTTTTTTTGCAATTTATTTGTTTACTTAGTGTTTTGGGATCTACGGGAAAGAGTTTTTTTTTTTTGGGGGAGTAATATATGTTATTGAATTAGATACATTTTATTTATTTTTGACATTCTATAATAATTTAGCAATTGTTATATATCTTCATGTATATACGTGCTAAAGAGAAAAAAGATATTAAAATAATTAATATTAAAATTACCTTTATTACTGTTGTTGGTGATAGCCCTATTACTTTAAATGATATATTATAAATTTTTTAAAGGAAGGCTATAAAATTAAAATCTATATACTAAGGCTCCAGACCTCAACAGCTCCTGTTTCCTAGTATTTTCAAAATCAAAATTATACTTTATCATGAAACTGTGATCAATATTTTATAATTCCTTAAGATAATATCTAGTTAGAAAATGAAAATTAAGTGAAAATTAGCCTTTTTACATTTTCTAAATGAAATTTAAATACCATTTAGCCATTTTAAGAGACTATATTAAAAATATGTAAAAAAAAAAAAAAACTACAAAGCGATGATTGGGTTCGAACGTGTCTTGAAAGCGAATTCAGCTTAGATCTTTAAATGTCCTAATGACTATATTCAATAAAATAGATAGATGAGAATAATTAAATGTTAGCATTACTGCATTAAACTTATGTAGATAATAAAGTGAGTGCCAACTAATCAAATTTTGAACTTGATTTCGTCGAAGTCTCAAAACACCATTTTCAAAGTAAGATACTTCAAAAATTTTTGACGTAAAAGGTAAAAGCATAAAATATGAAATAACAAAAATTTTTTTGGTATAATAAAGAATACTAATTATATTGTTAGAAGTGAAACTTGCAGATCCCTTATTACCCTGAAAATTTTTTGATTGGCTATCAAATATTTGTATAAATTTGGAGTAATATCGATTATCGATATCGAATACGACTGTTTTTTTTTATAATGTTCCATCGACTTTTTCCTGCATGTCTGATACATTCAAAAACTCATCGAACCTTATGTAAATATTTATTCATTAATGCTGCAAATATATCAAACCAATCTTTTAATGTTCTTGGTGTAGAAACTTCATGTGACGATACAGCTGTTGGTATTGTAAATAGTGACCGAAAAATTTTAGGTGAAGCAATACATTATCAACATGAAATACATGAACCTTCTGGTGGGATTGTACCAAATTTAGCAATGGTGAACCATCAAACTTATTTACCTTCTGTAATTTGTGAAGCTTTAAATAATGCTGAGTTAGATATGGCAAAAGATATAGATGTTGTGGCTGTTACCCGAGGTCCTGGACTTCCTGCTTGTTTGGGAATTGGTTTAAGCGCTGCAAAAACTTTGGCTGCTGTTTTGAGGTATACTCTCTTATTTTCATTATTGGTATGAAAAATGTTAAAATTTTTACGCTATATTCATAATTATATTATATACTATATACTTAATTTAAATTAGAAAACCGCTAATAGGTGTTCATCATATGGCATGTATTTGATTTTGTATTTTTCAAAACCTTGTCTTTTTATCATAATTGATACATATATTTAATGTTTAGGAAGCCCACGCTTTAACTGCACGTCTAACTCACTCTTCTTCTGATCTATTACCTTTCCCATATCTCACTTTGTTAATATCTGGTGGTCATACTCTAATTTTAGTTGCTCACGGAATTGGTCATTATACACAACTTGGTACAACTATAGATGATTCAATAGGTGATGCTTTTGATAAAACTGCTCGATTACTCAAAATTCCTTGGTTAAAAGGTCGTGGTGGTGGTCCAGGTGCGGCTTTAGAACAATATGCTTTAAAAGGTGATCCTAAAAAATATACGGTTCCAATACCAATGAGAAAAGATGCAAGAAGAAAACGTGAAATGAATTATAGTTTTAGTGGTTTAAAAACTTCTATAAAAGATTTCGTTGAAAAGTATAAATTAAATCTGGATGATGAAATTGTGATATATGATTTAGCTGCAACATTTCAGCATGCTGCAACTGTACATTTAATTGATAAATTAGAATTAGCTTTTGAATGGTGTAGAAATAAAGGTATCGCTTTAACTGCTTTGGTTGCTAGTGGAGGTGTTGCAAGTAACAAAAGTATTCGATCAACGTAAGATTTTTTATAATCTATAGTCTAAAAAATGTTTAGTTGATTACTGTAATTAATATTAATTTATTTTAATATTTTTTTATAGTTTGGAACGATTGGCAAATGAACAACATAATATTCCATTAATTTGTCCACCTCCACATTTGTGTACTGATAATGGTATTATGATTGCTTGGACTGGTGTTGAACGATTTCGTGCTGGATTAATCGATAAATATACTATTGATCATATTCCAAAATGGTCTATTGCGAATAAATGTAAGTATTTTTTATAAATATTAAAAAAGGTAAAGTAAATTTTGCAATAAAGACTAATGGGTTTTATATTATTATTATTAGTTTGATTTAATTCGTAAAAAAGCATCACGGCGAATTTATGAAATTTAGCTAAAATTTGGTCACCAAATCCGAGTATTTTGACCCCCAAAGTAAACCTTAGTTACCAATTTACATATTAATAAATCGATACCAAACCCCGAAAAGTTTTTTTGGACCTCTGATAACGCGTCTAACCCATCTTTCCCACAGGCTAACCCATCTTCCCCACCCTTATTAGACATATAAATTTATTATTGCGACGCACCTTAGCCTGGGAAAAATTTCTTATCTATATTTATAACTTAGTGGTCAAATTTTTCAAATTTTGGAGTATTTCATAAATTCGCCGCAATGGTATGTTAATGAGTATTTAATCTTACATTATGGCGAAGACGACGTTATATGCTTACATATTTTACTACATATTTTCATCCACAATCTGTGTTAAACAAATTTCTTAAGCAGTTTAATAAATGTTAAATAGTTATTGATATATATAAATATTGCAAATTTATAATATTTTGTAAATTAGTTTTATAAATTTATTTGTATAGTATTATTGAATTGTCTTAACGAGTTCATGTTCAATTGATTAGTAAAGCATTAAGATCAATATTAATATGTTTAAAGTCACTCAAATAATATATATACGGATATGTATTGGTATTTACTATAAAACCAAACAAGCTATACAATTTTATATCTAAAAACATGCCACAAAAATCAATAAATTTTAAGCATTAAACTTTGATCTTTCAATCCTAACAAGTTATATTCACATGAAACATTGGGGTGGTCGGTCAACTAAGTAAATCAAAACTATATGTAGTTATATAATAAAATTTATTAACGAAAATTTTTAGATAAGTAATAATTTATAATAATTATTGCAAATTTTAAATGGATGCATAGCCCTAACGGCTCGATAGTTTCGAATAAAATTTTGCAAAAACCTGCGTTACGTCTTTACAAACAAAGTTACAGAGCTATTTTTTAAAAAAGAAATTAATTAAGTCCTTTTTTAAGAAAAAAAAAACTTTTCATGTTTAAACAGATAAAATAGCTCTGTAACTTTGTTTGTAAAGACGTAACGCAGGTTTTTGCAAAATTTTATTCGAAACTATTGAGCCGTTAGGGCTGTGCATCCATTTAAAATTTGAAATAATTATTACTTAGGCCACACAAAGTAAATTTCTTGGTTTTCATAACATAAAATAAAATTTTTGACCCGGCAACCCGGATTTTTCTTTTTTTTCTAAAAAAATTTTTTTTGAAATATTTATTAATTTAAAAATAATAAATACCAATATACTTATTAAAACATAATTTTTAAACAAATTTTTTTGATTAATAATTATTAAATTCAATTCAACATTTACAATTTAAATATAAAGTTGATTAAAAACAAGACTACAA